GATGTGTATAAGAGACAGCTATCATCCCCCTCAATTCAAGACTTCTAGATACGCCACTGATTGTGTATCTCATTAATTATCTCTTTCAAGTAACACTTACCCGTCATTCATATATGTAAATAGGAATATCATGACGTGTTCTTTATTTTGGGACCTAAATATTTAATTTGTTTTTAATATAGTACCTACAAGAAAATGTTACTGTATTCGTCAAGTAACAGACAGAGTAATCACTTTCCTATATTCTTTATAGACGCTTAAATTGGCTAATATAATCTATGTAATAATTTCCTTTGGAAACTCACCAAACGCTTACTACGAAAATCTTTCAATAGGGCGATACCCGTATTTCCGCTCTGTGCTAAATTGTACTATCTAGGCTATCTTTATGTATTTTGCTCAAAATAAAATTCAATGGGGTGTATATGGAGTGGTGCACACGTTTTCTTTAATGGGAAAAAGCCTGCTGATTATACTATCTGTGCCGTCACTATAACAACTCCCTGCTAAAAGGTACAGAAATATCGCCTTGAAAATAACAATTTGCGCAAATGTTCAAAATGTGCACGACACTAAAAATACAAATACGTATTTGACGTCATTTCTATCCATTAATGAGATGCTTGTAACAATTATCATCACATTACCAGCTGGCACGTGCCAAAGGATCATGTGATACAGCACCATAACTTAAAAATGCAGTCCCCTGGACCACTTTCGAAAGGTTTTTAGCGATGCCCAACCACGCCCACTTTTGTCTCGTCGGGGACATCAGCCCCTACCCCTGTCGGGGACCTTGAATCCTTCGTCGGGGAAATCCTGGCGCCGCCACTGATTGTAATGTTTCTTTATAGTTAGACCTACTTGTCTTTCGCATGATCTTTTTATGTGTTGTAGTTTAAGATTTTATTTTTATTCACTGTTGAAGAATCTGGAAACCAAATTTCCTGTGAACAAAGTTTTACACGTTGACAAATAAATGTATCTTGTATCTTGTAGGAAGATGAGCAAAATTAGTCACTTGGGCTTCCTTGGTGTCATTGAGCTACATTTTTTTCATATTGTAGGTCTACATAGTTTGCTTGGCAGAAATTTGCTAAGTTGTGTATTGTTTATTTCTATGTTTTTATTTTCTAGCAATTTTTTTTTTAAATCTCATTTGTTTTTTAAATTGATATGGACATTGTCTGAAATAATATGAATTGATTGAAATGAGATGTTGTCAGGTCTAACCTCCATGCACTTTCTGCCATATAAGTGACTATTAGATCTGTGAATACCATATGGCTTACGGAAAATAGAATGGTTTATTCCCTCCAATGTATCGGAATGTGTAAAAATGTTTCTTCCACAAATGTTAAATATTCTACATAGTTTAAATATCAACAATGTAAGTCGTGGTATTATATGCAATCAACTCGGTCTCGTCAATCAGGTATTTCATAATAATTCGAAAGCTAGAACATTGTATGCCTATTTATTAAATATAGAGGTCAAAGGCCGAAGAATCATTAGAAATACTAGACCAAATCAAGTGCAACTTAAAGTAGATTGATAATTTTTATCTATCTGCGTATATTCGTCAAGGATGTCCCCTTTCCGCGTTACTTTTTATTTTGGTCGTTGAACAGATGGCCATTAATATCAGAAACAATTCATTATGTGAAGGCATTGCATTACCATCACTTCCGCATACAAAAACAGAAAATACTGTAAAAATAGCCCAATTAGCAGACGATACTGTAATATTTGCAAAAGATGAGGCCAGTATAGCTCACTTTTTCAAGGAAATTGAAAATTTTTGTACTGTATCTGGTCTGAAATTAAATAAAGACAAAACCAATGGTTTGTGGATTGGTTCTAACAAAAACAAAACAAACAATCTATCCGGAATCACTTTTGTCCGGGAACCCGTAAAATTTCTCGGAATTTTTATTGGCTATGATAAAAAAAATGTGTATTGAAAAAAATTGGAACGACAAAGTTTCAAATCTAACACAAGCTTTAAAACCATGGGAAAAAAGAAACTTATCCTTCTTTGGTAAAGTCACAATAATCAAAACATTTGCGCTGTCAAAAATAATATACAATGCGAGTATTATCGAAATACCGAGTAATATTGTCAAACAAGTTAACAAAATTATATATAGTTTTTTATGGAAAGGAAAAAGAGAAAAAATAAAAAGAAACACAAT